ATATATATATATATGTATATATATTTCTTTAATAACTGTAGTTACAATCTAATATTTTAGTCCATCTGACTCCCAATTTGCATTGCTATTTGCGTTATTTAACAATAAGTGCCTGTCATTCTCTGCCTCAGTTTGAAACATAAATGTGTGCTCTGCTATGGGCTAATAGTATCTCTTGTTCCTCTCTTCCAGCTGGTACTACATATATATTTGGAAAAGGAGGAGCTCTTATTACCTACACCTGGCCTCCCAATGACCGACCTAGTACAAGAGCTGATCGACTTGCAGTTGGCTTTACTACACAACAAAAAGATGCAGTATTACTTCGAGTAGACAGTGCTTCTGGTCTGGGAGATTATTTACAGCTTCACATAGTAAGGAAATAATCTTTTGATATTTAGTATTGTTTGTATCAAATATTTCTGTTTTTTTTTTTTACATTTAATCTACACATTTGTTTTCTTCATGCACAGCCTGAAGAGTTGCACCTTCTCAAGGAATGCACCCTTGATTTTTGCAATCCTTTATGTTCTCAGGTCTCAAACCCAGATAGCAAGCAATTGAGCTGCAAGTTTGAAAATGACTTGCTAAAGTATTGCAGACTTGCCAAGCTTCACAATTGTGTTGCACAATTACAGCAAGTCTGCATTGCAAGTCTCCAGACCAGCGAGCTTGCAGAGCTCTTGCTAAGACCTGCAGGACTCTTGCTGTAGACTTGCCAAGCAAATTTGCTACAAATTCAAAAAGTGTCAACTAGAACTTGTGCAGCAAGTGTTCTGCAAGTCTACAACTTGCCAGGAATATGTGCAGCAAGTTAACAAGAATTACAATTTAACCCTGCCACAAGTTTGTGGCAAGTTTATCCTTGCTATCTGGGAAGTGCACATTGGCAAACAGTCTGAGTATTTTCTGATCATGTGGTCCTAATGGCAGTAGATCATGGTGCTTATAAAAAGTTTTACAGAAGACAAACTTTTCATGCTGACTGTAAAGTCAGCTGTGTATGGCCAGCATCAGTCATTTCCTTTGGGAGAGACTGGCCATCCATCAAAAATCTTGTTTGACTGTCACACACATCTATGAGTCTAGTTTGTAACAAAAAATAGATTTTGTTTGTTAAGTTGCATTAGCTTAGTTAGTTCAATGAGATTCTCTTAAGAAGGGAGGCAGCGTGTAGGCAGATTATATCAAGAAATATTATATGAAGTAGGGCAGGGGTGCCCATAAGGTCGGTCGCGATCTACCAGTCGATCACATAGCGATCACTGGTAGATCGCCATGTCCTCTCCTCCCGCCGCTTCTCTGGATCCTCGCTGCTCTCCCCAGCGGGGATCCGAGAAGAAGTGAAGCAACCGGCGGCGGGGGAGGACGGAGCAGCTGTCACTAACTAATGCAGAGCAGTGAGGAGAGAGAGAGAGAGAGAGAGAGAGACGCTCGGCCATGATCTGACAGCCGGCGCCTCTCTCTCCCCTCACTGCTCGTCCGTTCTGTCAAAGCGGCTCCGCCTCCCCCCGCGGCTCGTCGTATCCCCTGCTGCCTCTGCCCGGGAGAGCAGGGGGATCCAGAGAAGTTGCAGCCCCCCCTGTGCGTGGACGAGCGGCAGAGGATCGGTACATGTCACTAGTATGTACCAATCCTCTGTGCAGGACAAACACTGGAGCGATCGGCTGATCACTCCAGTGTTTGTAAATAACTGGGGACACATAGTACTATGTGTCCCCAGTCATAAATGAATGAACAGGA